GAATTAAGGCAATGATAAACAATACATCTGTAACTGGTTCTAGTCCTACTGAATATGGATTATCTACACTGTCGGTACAATCGTCGACAGATCCCTCGTTCTCACGCTCATCTTTGATCCCCGTTATTGTTAAACCAGATGCCAACTTTACAGTTCGAGTTCCGCAAGAAAGTAAAACACAGTATAGGAAACAGAGATTGGAAGATAATAATAGCGAGGATGACGAATTGACATCGATCGTAGATGCGGATACTATCGATGACATTAACGATGAACATGAGAATGCGAATAATTCAAACGATCGACATTTAATGCACAAGCACATTGATAAAGCTGACGAGCAGAAGCCGAATGATAAGGTCGAAAGTAATTTTACAGCTGAACTCGACAAGAAAGAGCACCACGAGCTACTTGATTTTTTAAAAGGGGATCCACCCGGATATAATAAAACTTTTGACGAGGAAACTACCCCCGAGTATGAGGCAATTAAGTCTCGCGAATCGGTGCAAAATATGAAATCGGAAAAAATTCAAAATTCCAAAGAAGACAACGAAGAACAAGATGACAAAGCTGAACGGTCGAACGAAGATGATTCTAAAGAAACCTTTGAGGATGAACGCACATCGAACGATTCCGAGGAGAAACTGAAGGAAAACGATCGTTCGAATAAAGAAGAGGAAGGGAATAGAAGTGGCAATGTACAGACAACGGAGAGCGAACCTTTTACAAGATATTCATCTAGACCTGATTCGCCATCGGAAAATTACGAAGATGCGCGATATTCGGAGCTTGGCCCTCGCGTAAATAAGCCTTACTTTTATCATCCGCCATTCGATACGCCCGCGTACGAAAAATATGTATTGGGAAGATCTAGCGATCATGTGAGCGACGACGATTGGAACCACAGCGAAGAGACTGAGGACCACGAAACATACGTATTCCCTTGGGAAAATGATAAAGACGGCGACGACGACGACGACGACAACGACGACAACGACGACGAAAACACTTATGAATCGCGACCTTATTCTGTTCTCGGTAGATATGAATATCCATGGGAGCGAAGAGAGAGAAGAGCGAGAGAGAGGAGAAGGAAGGAAAAATTAGAGAAAAAATATGATAAGAATTATCTGGATAGTCAAGAAGACCAATACGAGGAAGAAGAAGCAATGAACTCAAAGCCAGTTTACCTTCCCATAAAAAGAAAACACAAAAGAAATAAGAAGGATGTTAATTATCTTAAATTCAATGTTGATGAGCAACCAGTTATTAAATTTAGTGGCAAATATCATTCTAGAATAATCAATGATCCTGAAAATACGAATAAACAAATGCTGACTACTATTACTAAAAGCGATGAAATTGGAACTATCGTAAACTATTATGAAAATGCATCGTCCTCAGAACCAACCATACAACAAGCTCATACTTCCGACAAAAGTCTTATAAATGATAAATATTCTTTAGAAAGTAGTGCCGATTTACCTAATAAGAAGCGCGATAATGTTCTTCAAATCGATAGTACTACACTAAAATCGCCAATTATCCTCTCAACATCGCCAACTTTCAAATATATAAGAATTAGTAAAACTACGGCAGTCCCAACGGCAACGAGTACAACCCCAAAATATCACATACGAATTCGATCGCGCAAAAAAGAAACGAAAATTAGCATTAATAATAGCAATAATATTGATCAAAAGGTAAATCGCGACAACGTGCCAGTGCAAAACACCAAATTGACTCGTAGACGAGGTCGTAACAAAGACAATTTTAATACATCAACTTCTGCTTCCGCTACAACAAAATCTCCAGTGAAATCCATTAATAGAAGACGTAGTCGAACATTGTCAAGTAGCACGACTACGAGCACTGTTACACCAACTTCAAAGATTGTTGAAGAAAGACGCAGAAGACCATTCAGAATACAATACGATACGAATAAAAGAAATCTTTTACCAAAAATTGACAATACTACCTCGACTACATTATCATCCATTTTCCAATATCCAACATCGACGAGTAGAACAGTCGAGCATCGTTCTCGCGTTTCAAAAGAGGAAATTATTACCAAAACATTCTACCCGGACAGTAATGAGGAAGATGCAGAAGACGACGATGACAACGTCGACGACGACGACAACGACGACGGCAACGACGACGACAACGACGACGACAACGACGACGACAACGACGACAACGACGACAACGACGATAACAACGACAACGACGACAACAACGACAACGACGACGATGTAGAAGAAAACTCATCGAGTCGAAGTAAGGAGAAATTAGATTCAAATAAGAAATCTCACGGCTACCATAGACTAAACAATCGTCTAAGGGCCAAAAATGAATCACAAGAAGAGCCAGCAACGAAGAAGAAAACTGTGGAGAAAGTGACGATAACAATGAAGGAAACGCCAAATCTCGTATATAGAACAAAGGAAATCGATAAGGACGGAGTTAAAGGAAAATACGTAACAATAACTGCAAATAATAACTCTACGACACCCGCTAACCACACGGATAAACTTCGGATGGGAGATGCCGAAATGGAGGAAATGAAAAGGAGAATGAATGCCTTCAGTTCGTTCGATAGCGTAAAGCAAGATACCGAGGATCTGGTCGATGAACCTTCGGAAACCGACGGAGTAGAAGTAAGTGCTCCTCCACGTAGGCACAGAGCATTTCGTATATCTACACGAGAATACAAACACATGATTACCTCTGCCATATCATGGGAGACGGAAGGCGAACATTACTTTTAACTTCAACATTGACCGCTTTATTTTAACCAGTTATGATTTTCATGGCACATTGATAGATTTCGATAAATTATAAGTAACGAATTAAATAAATGAAAAAAAAAAGTTTACTCACAAAGTAATATATATATATATATATATATATATATATATATATATATATATATATATATATATATATATATATGTATGTGTG